CGTAATTAAGAATACAAAATTTTCCCTCTGAAATCCATGTTATAAAATAATACTGTATTAAAAAGATAACTTCTTCGTCGGCAACCCTGATTTATCGATTATTTTTGGTAAATAGGGGAGAAACGTCAAAGACAAAAGGTAAACAACAGTGAACGCCGCTAAGCTTAAAAGCGTGGTCGGTGTACTTTTATTTTAAAAAATTCAACAAACCTATTGTGGAAAAGCAAAAATAATTTGTGGAAGAAGTGATAGCTATTTCGGAAATCACCACATTTCCTCATCACACTTCTTTCAGTGGAATTCGATACAACGATCCCAGCTGACTCGTCAGTTGCCTATGCTAAGTTCGCCTTAATTCTTGTTGCTTTTTTTATATTTAAAATAGTCATTAAAACAGAGACCCAAAATAATTATTGTCTTAATATTTGGGATCAAGATATTTCGGGATATTATTACTATTAATTAAAATACGCTAACAAACTAGTTTTGTAGTCTTACTTTAGTGCGAATACTAGAAATAAAAATAAATTTGTGTTTTAAGCAAAGAAATATAAATGTCTTTATTTTATATCAGTTTAAAAAGCTAATCACAAACTGAATAAACTAAAAACTATGGAATTAAAATTCATTCATATTGCGGTCGCAGTCGCAGTCATTTTTACAAAAAGTAAAAAATAAGAGATCTTCTCTACACTTACATATAGTATTTATACATTATTAGTATGCCTCAACATATGTATATATACAAGTCGGACGAATTTTGTAAAAAAAATCATGTCATGTCTCCGATTTGCTTCAAATTTTTTTATGGGTTCTATACATGAAATAAGCTAACACGTATTCGAGGATTTTTTTGTTCTTTTTTTCTTCGGAGATATAATCTGTCAAAGTTCGAGTTTTTTCGTGATTCTGGCCATTCATGTACTTTTCTTGGTTATATCTCGGGCTCTACTCATCGTAAAGACTTCATATTAACAACGTTTTGAAGATAAAGAAACGGACTTTCCTAAAGTTAACTAAACAACTAACAGTTGGACTTTTTAAGTCGATTTGCATAGTAAAGACCAGTAAATTTGGGATTTAAAATTACACCGTCATAATCCTTGTTTAATACTCTATAAAAAAAAACATGTTCCAAAAACTGGGAGTTTTTCAAGAACTATTTTTAAAATATATATATATATTTTTTTTTTGTTATTTTATGGCCTTATAACAATTATATTCAACAATTTGTATTGAGCTCGAGGCCGTTTTTTTTAATGAAAATTTATTGTGGAAAATCGACAATAATTTGAAAAAATGGTAAAAGTGATAGCTATTTCGGAAATCACATTTCCTCACCAGGCTTCTTTCAGTAGGATTCGAACCGACGATCCCACTGACTCAGCCAGTGGCCTACGCACTGTTCGCCTTGTTAATTCTTGTTGCTTATTTCCACTATTTCAATTGTTTTTTTTTTCAAATTATTGTTGCTTTTCCACAATAAATTTTCTTTAAAAAAAACGGCCTCGAGCTCAATAAAAATTGTTGAATATAATTGTTATAAGGCCATAAAATAACAAAACCCAATAACTTAAGGACGAGCACACCTAAAAAAAAGTTGAACATTCTAATAATAGAAATATTAACAAAAACCAACAACCACATGATCAAGTGAATTGCAGCGGAATAGCTGCGCTTGATTGTAGTTGGCTTAAGAAGTGAAATAGTAAAAATAAGCAACAAGAATTAACAAGGCGAACTTAACACAGTGCGTAGGCAACTGGCTGAGTCAGTGGGATCGTCGGCTCGAATCAGAGAAAAGCAAGGAGCTACTTGAATTTGGAGTTCGTTTATACTGAACTAATGTACGTATGATTTGATACATGAACAACGTCAAGCGTACGAGCCGCAACTTGCTTTTAAATTTTTTACCGAGTCAACGCAGTGAACAGTTTTTTTTGTTCGAATCATACACTTGTACAATTTCAAACCAACCGAATCGTTGCTTGTATATTGAGATACTCGTTCTGTATACACGACGTGTTGTATTCATTCGAGAGTTATATGTTCTACAGTTTTTATTGTAAGATTCTGACGTGCGTAAATTATGTCGAATACAATTGAAAATATTTCTGAAAAACTCAAAAGCGGTGTTCTAAGAAAATGTAATAAAAGAAACGGTCGTAGTGAAGTGTGGTCTGTTTTTTGTGAAGTAGAAGATGATATTGGATGCGCTATTAAAGAATTTGTATCTAGTTTGTAAATAAAGTAAAGCTTCACTTGGCATTTCCAATTGGCGTCAGTAAAGTATACTGATTATTTCAGGTATTTTTAAATTTTGTTATTTTGTCGCAATAAATTTCAAATACTTCGTTTTATCGATGTGAATACGTCTATGCATATGAATGTATTTACATATAATTTTTAATAATGAAATAAACAAAAAGTATTCATGGACATAGGAAATGCAATATGGTTTTTTATTTTGGCATGCACTTCTTTTATCGCGAAGGAAAAATGCATACAGATTTAACATCACATCGCTAATTATTATTATTATAATTGAAATGCGATAAACAAAAAATTTGCGCTGTCTTTCATTCGCGACTCAAATATGAGTTGTCCGGAAATTGCCGATGTCGGGCGCTAATAAATGAGAAAAAGCGATCCCGGTAGTCCGAACAGATTTCAAGGACATTGCAAAGGAGATGATGTTACAGAGGATACATTCATACATATATGTGAGACTGCAAAAAACTTATTTTCGTTTGAAACGAATATTTATAAGAATATTCCAAGCGTACACTTTTCAGTATAATGGAGTATCTGCGTGGTATTTTTCTATATGTGTGGACCTTTGCATGACGGCCATATCATACTTATTATTCTGGTTTACAGCAAAAATGTTCTATGGATGCCACTATCCAATTCTTATGTAGAATTTCCCGGTGATTATTGATAACTTTTCGAGATATTTGCAAATTACCCTTATTCAGTTTACAAAACCAGGAGTGGTTTCACTTAATCACGTATATCGAACCAATTGAATAATTGTAATACGAGAAACGGTAAATGAAACCAATTAAAATTCTCTATAAACCATACATACATAACTTTTCGATAGCCCTTATAGTTTCCGAGAAATTAATTAATCATTCGTGGCAGCTCTTGCTTACGATGCAACTCAGGTGTATGTGGCGTATGAGTAACACTTTTTCTCCAAAAAAATCCTTGCGTATTCTCGTTACTTAATTACTTTCTTATTTATATATCGATTTTCTTCATTGGTAATTTTTTTCTAAAGGAACGGGCTTTAACACAATTATAAACAAAATATAAATAGAGCTGGTAACATTCGTTCGTTATGTATTTCTGTTTAAAAGCTATTTCTGTCCTATTTCTGTCCTCTTTCATTTTATACTTAATTTGGATATGCGGTTTGTATACTATCAGGAAATTACTTTCATTTCGGACTTAAAAAATATTTGGCCAAGTTTGACTGTTAAAAAAACAACTGTTATTTTCGGTCCCTGCTTTTTCTGACTCTTCACCAGACCTCCACTTTACTCATTATTCAATGTTAAGTACATATACGCAGTATGTTTCATTTATTATCCTTATTAACATAAAAAATGCAATTATTACGGAACAAAATAACATGCTGATATTTCATTAAACTATAACTACACCAATTCCTTTGCCTAACGAATTTAACATGGCAATGTCATTGAAGCGTACCGAGAGGGTGCGCGTGGTTTGTCCTTTAGCTAGCGATTACCTGGTGCACTAGTGACGATTACTAATCGCTAGCTCTTTGCCTAACGACCAGTAATGCATAATATCGCTAGCAAATTGCCTAACAATAGGTGATGCATGGAATCACCAGCACCAGCCACCAGCAAAACTCCAGCAGAACTACAGGGGGCTCTTCTGCATCCTATACATACTTGCTTTTACAAAGGAACAAAAATTACATTACATACATACATACGTATGTACATACATATGTATGTACATATACAGCTTGAAAAGAGTTGATTGAAAGTACGTACATCGAACGAGTCATACGTACTTTTCTGCTTAATGTTCAACTCATTGACATGTACATTTTTTTCGAACCAAATCTTGGTTGCGTATATTTTAAACAAGCTTGCCTATCGAACAGCTTTTCATGAAACATATACTTGCTTCACTTGTATTGCCATACTGGAGTACAACTCATTCGTATGAGTTGCCTTGCAACGAGTTGGCTCGAAACTCGAAATTGTTACTCGAAGCATATCACTGGCTCGAATCCTACTGAAGGAAGTCTGATGAGGAAATGTGGTGATTTCCGAAATAGCTATCATTTCTACCATTTTTTCAAATTATTGTTGCTTTTCCACAATAAATTTTCATTAAAAAAAACGGTCTCGAGCTCAATAAAAATTGTTGAATATAATTGTTACAAGGCCATAAAATAACAAAAACAAATAACTTAAGGACGAGCAAACCTAACAAAAAAGTTAAATATTCTAATAATAGAAATATTAAGTAATCAAAATGTAATCGTAATCATAAAGTGCCCAGCTCTGCTTAAAAGCATGTTGCATTTGTTGTTTATAAGGAAATCATGCTGAAATCATGAAGCAATTTCGCGTTGTAAAATCTGAAAATAAATTAAGTAGAAATGAGATAATTCATCGCAAATCCAGAAAAAAATGACTTGTCATCTAGTTTAGCCACCACTGTCGAGGAAATGTATAAAAATAATGCCTAAGGGTATGTAACCATTTATTTTGAAATCATGTCAAAATTGCACACCGGCACGTACATATATGTGCTAATGAAATATCTGTATAAATCATGAAAGCAAGTCTGAGCGCACTTGATTTATGGGAAGTAATTTGACTAGAACTAAGTAATATTATGCTATAAGTAATACGAACATAGTTATAGGCTGTCTGTTATTGATTTCGAATTGGAAACACATTACGACCATATTGTACTAGCAATACAGAAGTATTACACGAACAAACCTGTATAATTAATGGCCGATCTTCGGGGCATGTTTGTAGTGCATCCTTGCGATACTTCAGATCTTTGGCAAACAAATTGCTGTGAAACATTGGTGAATAGCATAGTTGGGCACCGTACTTGCGACAAAGCATACGCCAAGCCAATTCACTTTGATCCACCATTGGCACCACCTACGAATAACAAAAGACGAAATATTAGGCTTCATACATAATTATGAAATCTGTTGCTTTCACCTACAACAAACTGAGGGGATCCAAGGACTTTGCGGTAAAATTCATAGCCTTGAAGTTTTGGGGATCTTGTTGGCGATATGTCTTTTGCTTCTACGCCATTTGTGTGTACTATTGTTTCAGTTGATGGTGGCGTTGATGTGGGTCTGGTGACGGGCTTAGTTGCGATGTCTTCATTCTCCATCCTGCGATATGATTTTATAACGAACTGAAATACTATGAAAGTGAAATAATTGAAGTTTATAATTTAATCTTATATAACTTATCTATGTATATATCTGTGTTCGTATGGAAAAGTAGCTTATGTATGGCTGGCTTTAGTATAAATCGGCATTCGCAGCATACGATTGCGAATGACTTACGGGCGCTAAGCCGTTAAACAACTTTAAGCAAATAAACGTGCAAGAAATAGTTCCGATTCTAGCAAGTCAATATTCCATTTAAGTCTCATCAAAAAATTCCTTGTCGTTTAAAAAATAAAGGGAATGCCGCATTATACTAAAGCCGGCCCTTCGACATAAGCTACTTTTCCATACGAACACAGATATATAAAAATTAAATATTTTCCGTATGACGGCGATGCCTGACCAAACGGCTGAACCGATTTCAATTCTGTAAAAAGCACTATTTTGGACCTTCTATAAATCCGAAACTATAAGTCATATGAACTTGAAATTTGTTATTCAGTCATACATATGGTAGGTGCTTATAGTAGGGTATATATGAATGAGGTTGTAAAAGTGGGCGTGGCACATTCCATAGGAATATGTTATCAGCTATAATTCCGGAACTATAAGACACATGAACTTGAAATTTGGTATGCAGACATAACTATGGTAGGTGCTTAGAGTAAAGTATATATAAAGGGATTTGTAAAAGGGGGGCGGGGGTGGCACATCCCATAGACGTGGAAATTTTTATTAGCTATAATTTCACAACCATCAGTCACATGAAATTGAAATTAGGTATGCAGACATAGCTGCGGTAGGTGCTTACAGTAGGCTATACATATATGAGTTTGTAAAAAGGGGCGTGGCACATCCCATAGGTGTGGACGCTTTTATCAACTATAAATTGGGAACCATAAGTCCCAAGAACTTGAAATTTGGTGTGCAGGCATATCTACGGTAGGCGCTTTAAGTAAGGCATATATAACTGAGTAGAACATCCCATAGGCGTGGAAAATTCGGAATCATATGTCACGTGAAATTGAAATTTGGTACGCAGACGTATCTATAGTAGGTGCTTATAGTAGGCTATATATAAGTGAGTTTGTAAAAGGGGGAGCGGAACGTCCCATGGAACATGGAGCTTGAAATTTCGTACGCAGCCATTTTAATGGTAGGTACTCATATTAGGGTATATATAAATGAGTTTGGAAAAGAGTGCATGGCACATCCAATAGGTTGGCCGCTGTGGTGTAGTGGTAAGCAGTGCGCGCTTTCACTCACCAGCACCTGGGTTCAAGCCCTGGTCAAAGCAACATCGCAAAAAATTTGGAAAAAGGTTTTTCTTAACAGCGGTCGTCCCTCGACAGGCAATGGCAAACCTCCGAGTGTATTTCTGCCATGAAAAACAGCTTCTCATAAAAAAATACAATCGCCGTTCGGAGTCGGCGTAAAACTGTAGGTCCCTCCGCTTTGTGTGACAATATCAAGGCGCACGCCACAAATCGGAGGAAAAGCTCGGCCAAACACTAACATATGTGTAAGAGCCAATCTATTATTATATTATTATAACTTCGGAATTATAAGTCCCACGAACTTGAAATTTTGTATGCAGATATATCAATGGTAGGTGCTTATATATAAATGGGTTTGTAAAAGGGGGCGTGGCACATCCCATAAGCGTGAACAATTTTATCAGCTATAATTTCAAAACCATAAGTCAAATGAAATTGAAATTTGGTACGCAAACGAATCTATGGTAGGTGCTTATAGTAGGGTATCTTAATATATAAATATCCCGTGTCACTGTGTTCGTTTACGCTAATCTCCGATACCGCTTAACCGATTTCAATGAAATTTTGTGGGTGTGTATTGTTGGTTCCAACTTAAAAGATAGGATAGTTGTGAACCCGAGAAAAATTATTTTTTTTTATCGAAATTTTTTCTATGCTTCTCGCATCGTGCTTATCTAATATACATATACAAATCGAACTCTTCCTAAACGGCTCGACCGATTTTATGAAATTTTTTGTGTTATATATGGTAGGTATGAGAATCGGATCTAAAGTATATTTCATACCGCTAGGTGCAGGGGGTGGCACCTCCCATACAAACCGAATTTTTCATATTGCACATCTCTGGAAGTGTTCATGGTAGACTACTCGAATATGTTATGGAGATATATGAAAACATTTGCATATTCATGGATAAAAATTGCGGTTATTGGAAAAAGTTACGTGGCACCTCCCATACAAACCGAATTTTTCATACTGCATATCCCGGAAAATCTTCATGGAGATAAATTGTATACTGCATATCTCTGGAAGTGTTCATGGAGGAGTACCGGAACTTGGTATGTACAAGATATATAAAACGCGACTGGTCAGGAAGAAAAGTTGGGGCTATTGGAAAAAGGGACGTGGCACCTCCCATGGTAAATTACTCGAAAATGGTATAGAGATATATGAAATCAATCTCATTCTCTTCGAGAAAATTGGGGTTATTTGAAAAGGGGACGTGGCGCCTTTCAAACGCACTGAAACTATTACGTATCTTTGTATGCATGTACAGTTTTGCTAAGTTATTTAAGACAGCAAATATGCCTTCTGACAACCACCAAACCGTAATATTAGAAGACAAATGCGTCACTAAAAATCATGAACGTGAACTCTTGGTGAAAATGTTGGACAAAAATGTTTCAATACACGGTTAAAAATTTCGGTTTTAATTTTAATCTTTTTGGACTACATATATGACCAAACTATATAAATTCAGTTTCAAATACAAACCTTCTAAATTAAAAAAAAGAGGGCACATATGTTGGGTTTAGAATTTAAACAGTTCGGTTTAAATTTTACCCAAACATTTTCATAATTAAGAATAAAAAATAAAAATAAAATTTCATGCTCCGTCTGATGGGGATTGAACCCGGGCAGCCTTAGTAGCAACCAATTGTATCAAGCAGCTTTGCACTCAGCTACAGCCACGCATGTAAATGTTCTTTAATACGTTGAGTTTGAATTAACACCACATTTCGCTGTGTGCAAACATTTTCTATTTCGGTTTAGATTTTAAACCAAATTTTCTATATATGAAACCTAGAAACTAGACTTAAAACATTTTGGTTTGATTTTTAAACCACGAACTTTTTGGACTAAAATTTAAACCACAATATATTAAAAATTGCTTAAAACTATTGACTGGTTTAAAAAGTAGACTATAAAAGATTAAAAAAGGCAGTAGTTCCAGCGCGGTTTAAAAATTAAACCCAAATTTTTGACCGTGTACAAAAACTTTATTTTGGGGCGGGACGAAGTTCGCCGGGTTTGCTAGTATACATATAAAAATGAATGTGTATGTGTCTTTTATAGTCATCCAAAGTACTAAACTGATCTTTATGAAATTTTCACTATAGATTCCTGTGGCCCACGGAGAAAAAGTAAGCTATGTATAATTTAGGAAAAGTGGGCATAGCCACGGCCCCAGGGGAAAAGAAAATTTGAATTCGTCATGTATCCGCAACTACATATTTGGTGCAGATTGATGATGTTTGGATATATGTACATATGTATGTGTCCTATAAAACAAGCTATACAAGAAAAAAACAAATTTGTTATATCTCCGCAACTGTTTAATGCGGATGTACAAAATTTGGTTTATACATACATAGATCCTACGCACGGATACATTTTCGCAATGAATGCAAAGTTTTTCATGTTATTTTTTTCGTCAATGTTGATGGTGCTAGGCATTTACCTCCATATAAAAGCCATTCGAACATACTTCGTATGGGAATATTGCGTGACACTGTCAGAAAAAAAATGCAAAAAATCAATGTGCCAGATGTGGGGATTTCGCCCCATTTTGGGGATTTCTGAAACCATTTGGGGATAGATTTTTTCATTTGAGGATATATTTTTTTGTTTGGTGATGGGGCGATTTGAGATTCTATCGCCGTCAAAGTATTATTCGGCGCAAATGTCTGCTTTGATTGGCTTTCACTGAACAAACAATTTCCTCACACTTCATTACACCAAATTGTAAAATGACTGCTATGATTGGCATCCACTGAATGAACCATATATATTTTTGATTTCTTTGCTCCAACACCGTCGGTTCTTCATTTAGTGTAAAAAGAAATTAACAAAATGGAAAGCACACAAAAAAGGAGATTAATTGGACTCACAGCAGTAGAAATAAATAGTCTCTAAAAACCATAAAAAACAAGAAACCCCATTTTATTAATAACTAAATGATCTCATACATACGTATGTGTACGTATGTCTATATACATATGTATGTATATATAGTAAAGCTTTGAAAAGATGTAATAGAAAAGTATTCAAAATTTTAACTAAAATGAACTAAGTAACACAAATGAGAATACATACTTTTTTTTACTAAAGGGGATTTAAATGAGGCTTAAAAAAACGGGGATTTTTTAGGGATAACTGCGACTTGATATGGGGAAGCGGTACAAAAAGATTCTGGCAACACTGATCCTAAGCAACTTAACTACTGTGTATAATTTTGAGGAATTAAAGGTACAACAGATAAATCTGCAGAAACCTTTTTTGAAGATATAAATATGGAAGTACATATTTATTTGAAAAAAAAAATCATAAAAAAAAATTTGTGACGATGGGTTAAAATTTTCGGAGAAAGCCAAATACCAGCTAACTCAACAACTAGTGAAAGAGTTTTTCAGCGTTACGCAGAATTCTAGAAGAAAGACGTACACGACTGCTTGGTGAAAACCTCGACAAAACATTATTTTTGAGCAAAAATATGAGCCAATGTCATTTTAAAATTACATTGAATGAATATTGATGTGAATTATTTTCTAAACATATATACATTAGGGTGCCCATCGAATTTTTTTTTTGGAAATTTCAAGACCCTATTGTTGTATATTTTGATAGATTTTTTAAAAATCATTTAGATGTCGCAACTTGTAATTTTAGGTCAGAAAGTACGGTTGTGTAGATTTATCAGTTTTTGAATGACTATTTTTCATTCCATTTTATAGATCGAACATGTTGTGAGAAGAGAAC